ACACACACACACACATATATATATACATACACACACACACACACACATATATATATACATACACACACACACACACATATATATATACATACACACACACACACACACACATATATATATATATACATACATACACATATTTCAGTCTGGACCAAACTGGAGGACAGATATCCAAATAACCATTCTGGCACCGCTAGCATGGCAAAAAATACATCAATGTTGCACTAGGCAACGACTTCATTTATTATGATGGACACGGGCACTGTAATAGTGTTATGAGTTACTCCCATATACACAGTCCTGCTGCTGTAAAAGCACTTACAAGCGCACAAAATCTGCTGCTGAAAGAAAAGTCTCCAACAACTGCATAGTTTACTCCAGTAAAAGGTGCTAAAGACTGCAGTGTTCAGGCAGTCTGAGGAACCTATTGAGCCTTTCTAAAGACTCATGTCTTCAGTAGGGACTCTTCATTGTTAGCAGACTTTAGTGTGAGCCCTTCACTAATTCAAGAAGCAAGAGAAGCACTTCAGAATGAGAGGTATACAGTATACTAACATTATGCCATCATCTGTGGTTTAACCAGCACAGTGCCTTCTTAAGAGAATGTATTGGTTCCAAAACAAATCTCAGCTTTGAGACACGGTAGATCCCCTTTGTAAAAAACACTTTGACAATAGGAAAACAGGATAAAACTCTTATGCTAGAAGTTAAAGTGTAATTATACATTTTGGCTTTACACATTCTGAGATCCTCAGATTTGTTATAATGAGTTGCAATTTAGAACCACAGTTGTGCACTACGTGTCTGTTCGTACCTGGGCAATGTTCTTGTTGAGCAAGTAGACACCGTATTCAAAATGAAAGCGCTCTCCTCTGGGGTACAAAGGGAATCTGTTGAAGACAGGAGAAAAAGACAAGCATGGTGTTACACAGGAACAGCTGATTTATTCAACTTGATCCATTACCAACAGAGTTTAGTAGCGAAGATGTAAGGACACTCGCAAGCCAACTAAGCACAGCCAAGCTTACAACAGCACTGAATCCATACTGTGTAGTCTATTGTAGGTCTAAGCGTGTGAAAATGTCAATGAAGGATGGTGGGATTTAAAAGGGTCCATTGTTTATTAATCTTACTCTGAGACATTCAAACAACTGTTGCTCTTCGGCTTTCGCAACAGTATATGAATTCTTTCCCATCGTTGGGAGTGGCCGTCCGTGTAGCCAGCGGCGCTTAGATTCGGTAACACTTGCAGGAGGCAGATGAAACCGGGTCTGGGTCTATGAC